GATTCTGACAGTTTTTAGAAGTGGCTTTCATTGAATGAGAAGAGGATGGGTATGCTATGATTTTCCTTAGTCTTATAACATGAAGGTAGGTCAGTTGAAACGGTACAGAGTGAGTTTTCGAGTTCTAAAGCCAGCCTAATTCTTGCTTTCTTAAGGATTCTATGTATGATTTCAGATGTTCGTTTCAGTGTAATGCCTTATATTCCTTCATATTTATGTTATGGCCTAATTTATTTACTAATTTATATTTATTTCAAGATTTCATCATGAGCTGACATTAGTTAGAGAACCATTGGTAAACCTGGGAGTACTGGACAGCTGTTTCGTCCTAGTTTGGGAATCTTCAGCAGTACGCACCCATCGGGATTCGAACCCAGGACCTTCCGGTTACAAGGCGAGCTCGTATACCATTAAGCCACTGGGACCCGATCCAATGGTCCTTGAATTCTAACTTCTGCCAATTCACGGCATAGTGCGACCGCTATTTTTTTTTATTTATTTTATTTATAATTTACCAATTTATCTATTATTATGAGCTTTCCTGACCTTTTTGATGAATTCTTTGGAATGTTTATTTAGTAACAGTGCTTCTTCCGCAAATTTCACTTCGTTATTCCGGCTTTCTAGCAGGCTAAAGAAAAACATTTTGTTAGCTGATTATATAAATGAGCAACAAATAAAGCTCTAAATGTTACCAGTAGATAATACTGTGCCACTGTGTGTTTTGTCGAATAAAATTATTTTATAATGGTATTATATTCTATCACAAGGCCCGAAGTTTATTCGTTTATCACTCAAGTCGAATATGTTATGTAAAATTAATATAGTTGTGGTGTACAGAAACCGCTATTTAAATTTTTGGCACTTATAAAAGATAACGACTTAATACATTTCTTCGTATTCAAAAAATACAGCGTCATATCTGTTTTCCGTGTTTTTTCTCTGCCACTAAAGTATTATGCATATTGGTGTTTTCCAAATCATTTATTATTCCATCGTACCATTATATAAACTAATTTACTGTTAAAGCTGAAATCCTGCTTCTAAATCTAAAATTAAATAAATCAAGATATAACACCGATTCGCTTATTCCTCAGTCACTGGCCTGAGGAAACATAATGCACGACTTTCGACTGTAAACACAAGGTGATCAAGTTACACGTCTCAAAATAAGCTGTTTATACAACTCTGTGTCACTTGCAGGGATGTCAGTACATTGATTTCTCCTCTTCGCTTGAATCACACTTTCTTAAATCTTTGTTTCCTTTCTTACTCTTTACCTTTTGCAAATTTTACGACTGAAAGTAAACGGTATGTTGCTAAGTTATTCAAAAGGCAATAGATTCTGAGTGAACTAGAGATCAGATACACTTCGTTTATTTTCAGTTAGTTTTACTGAATACTTATTATGTTTCAGAAGAAGCTATGATGATAAGAATACAGTCGCTTAAATCTATTTAAGTTATTGATAACAGTAGTCAAGTAGGTTCAGTTTTATATTTCACTGTACATCTCAACTCGCTAACTGATAGCCAGGTGTGAGCGAATTGTTTACAGGCATGATAAGACTTCTCCATCATTTGATAACAAAAATGACGCAAAGATAGACAGAAGAATTGGTGAATCTTTCTATATAATATGGTTTATTTCTACCTTCTAACCAAGTTAAAAAATTAAGCAAATCCGTTCACAAAAACGATAATGATATGAATCATTTAGAACAAGTATACATTGGTAATGTACATGAAAAAAATTCTATCCCAGAAATTTCTAAGAAAATCTCACCGCCAAACAACAGTGACGCATGCAAATGCGGGAAAAACTGTATCCATTTTTATAATGTTTAGGCACATCATATATATATATATATATACGTAAAACACCTTTCTGTCGAAAGTTCTTCATACTAAATTCAAGGGAATGTATTCACATACACATTTGTCTAAGGGAAACTGATTTCATTACATTTCATTATAGATATATCAGTTGAATTACGTGATCACCATTAGTATTCAGTTTTATTTTGAATTATTTGTTAGTATGTTCAGCTAAACAAATCTTCAAACAACTACTCATTAAATAAGAAATAAATTGTCTCAGGATTATATTTCAATAGCCCAGTTTCATAAATGAACACCAAACAGAAGGTATTGTATACTTAGTGAGTATATGTCGACTGAGAAAAATAACTCGCCTAAGTAAGAGATGTGAACTAGGTTTTTCACTCAAACATTTCTCAAAAATGCCATAGTTTCTGGACATTACTTTGAAAGTGGCTTAAATTTCAGTGCAGCACCGCCAAAGGTATCAACAATAAGAGGTACTTTTAACCGATTTTTAAATGAACCTGTAGCATTTAGATGTTGAAATGTGATTGTGATTCCAATTATTATCACTGTGTAGGGATATCTTTATCTGCATATAAACATGAGATTTCAAAAGCTGTTAACATACGGATAAGCATTCGACAATAAGAAATACACATATAGTGAGCAGAGATAAAGCTCACTGAAAAGCTGTTCGCCATTTAAATTTTGATTAAACTGTTGTACTTTTGAAAAAATTGCATAAGACATTATACGACTAACAAATGTTTCTAATTCTATTAAGGGATTATAATAATGATTATATTGTACTAGACTGAAAATTTGCTTCCAAACGGTTCAAGTATTCCAAATAAACCAAGGGCATCGAAAAGTAATCGACCTTTAAATGTTTCATAATATAGCCAAGTATTAGTGGACATCAGTAGAGTATTAAACAGCTATTGATGTTTCCGGATAAGAATAAGGGGTCTCGCTTGTGGTTGACAATATGATAACTGTCGTTAACTGAAGACTAGGACAAATGATTGAAAGTATACCACAGTAGCCTACATATATATATATATATATATATGTATATAAGTTCAAGTGACTTAATACTACGCTTATTATGTTTGCATACTTATTATAGGGTTGTTGTACTGTTAGTTGTTTTCTTTAGTATTTGTTATCTTGCGATGATATATGGTGATTCATGCATACAGGAGGTTGTCAATGGTCAGAATCCCTTATTGTTATCTTTGAACGAGAATATTTTCGCAAGCTGAAAAAAACACTGTCATACAACACTGATTATTATTGTTCCCTTAGGCTGCGAGTAGAACATAGGGCTTCAACAGCACATGTCCACTTTGTCGTATTCTCTGAGCTCCTCTTTAACTGGCCCCTCTACTTCCCTTAGTCACACATCTCCTCCTCATACGATCTCTTCCATGTTATTTGTGTTCTCAGCATTTGAAAAATAAAATAACTTTACTCTATTTCATATACACTTTACATACATATACATGCATACCGATAGCATTTCAGGTAAATCCGAATGATTAATTGTACAGACAAACAACGTTCTTCTATTTGAAAAAGTAACAATGCCACGATTTTGATGAGAAGTGCTCGATTCGCTTTAAAAAAAGCTCCTTAAACTTATAATCTGCGTTTATGTATCTATTCGATTGATGACACAAACTTTAATTAGTTCAGTTAAGATGCATTAGGAATAAATATTTTTTTTATATCTTCTGATACATTTCCTTCACTTAGAATCATTAAGCAGTACTGCACTTTGTCTAAACAGACTTTGGCTTAAGTTAAGTAGCATGCTCCTATGGTTTGAAATAAAACAAAAAAAAGAAACACGAATGTATGTATGATATGTCTGGGCTATCTGGATTTCCAAATCATCCACAGAGATTGCATTTTCAGTATTTTGTGTCAAAATGTAGACAGTAAACAGTTTAAATAGAATGGGCTACTTAATAGTGAAGTGATGGTCAACAAATCTTTCCTGGTCATCTCATATCTTGATTATTTCTAAGGAAATATTCCGTCTCATCTTCTACATCAAGAAGTTAAGACATTCTGGTATAACCCAACCCTTACTCCTACGATTCGTTTAACTCTTGCATTCTGCCTATTATTCTCTGTTGTTCCCCCTTAGTTTCCCCTTGGTTACTAAAGAAAGACTATATCTTATTACGTAGGATGTTAAAGGTTGTCAGCAGGGTAAGCAACGTGCCACTTAACCAGCTTGTTAATATTCTAGTTGACAGGCACATGGACTCATGTGAAAAATGGGCTAAACCCATTCCATCTAACTCACACCACCCTCTTCATTCACAACTCTCCCCTTGCATCTCTTCAGGGAAAACCAGAAGCCTATATAGAAAAGTATATGCTCGCACTAGTAAGTACAAAAACTCAACCATACCCTACTTAGCTCGTGTTCTGTGCGATAAAGAAAGCATTAGGCATGATACCTATAACTGATTAAATAGTCAGTAGAACAACTGGATCTCGTCTCTCCAAATCATATCTTTTATAAGTAAAACGTTTTCTATCTTTCTTTTCCTTTTCTCTCTTTTTCTATTATGTACTGCTATGTTTCTTTCTTCTGCTTGCGCCAGTAAATATGCTAGAACCTACTTTTCTAGCACCTTCAAACACTCTGTTCAATTTTGGCTTTGCTACCGACATGCCAATATATTGTTGTCATAATGAATTGAGATTACCATTAACCTATGTAGAATTTTATTTATTGTTAATGTACTAACTCGATGCAATACTGTAGTAAACTGCTGAGAATTCCATTCTGTATCACAAGTACTGTTTTGGAATAAAGCAAATTATTATTATTAAAAAATTCTCAAATATTTGACTTCCTACAATTATTTTATACTTGTTATTCAAATACAACATACATAATGCTCTCCCTTTTAGGTTAAGCCTGGAGATTTTTTTTTGGGGGGGGGGGGTAAATCAAATGCTATTTAGTGGTGATTTGTTCTCATATTTGTTTGTTGAAGGCATTTTCATTGATGTTTTCCATTGTTTTTGAACGTAGTACAGTTCATTATCTGGTTACTTGTTGGTGTGATTGACCTTTCTATATTCCGCAGAGGTTGAATGTTTCTAATTTATAATCATCTTATTGCTTTCATTCACTTAAACATTTTACAGATTGCTGATTTCGGATTCGTTAAACATGTGAAATATAGAACCTATACACTTTGTGGGACTCCTGAATATCTAGCTCCAGAGATTATTCAAAGTAAAGTAAGTTGCATTCATTTAGCTATAATAATACCATTTTAATTGTTGTTTTGTCATATTAAAAAAAATATCAGATGGAAAATTCATTTTGAATTATTCATGAGAACGTTAGTGATAGGCATTTTCACAGTGATTTTAGTTCATTTACTATTTCGAATTTTCAAAGATTAACGGAGTGTTGCTGTGAAAAGTTAATGGATTCACAGGTCCTGCTTTTATTCTACCTTTTTGCATATCTTATTATTTCTACTGTGACGTGATATGGGACTCTTTTTGTAGTCTAACTTGCATACCGAAGGAAAAGTAAATATAGGCACAACAGAATCTCACAATTTTCCTTTATTTTTATTTATTTTTTGATATTGAATTTCAAATTCAGATCAACTATTTCGTTATCAATAAGTAGTTATTTCAGGACAGTAATAAAAACATATTGCCTATTGTTACCATATGTATAATACCAGTAAAAGAATTTAGTAATTTTTTAAACTATATGCGTTCCTTTTTCACTGGATTATTGTCATTATGCTGAAGCCCGCAACCTGGATTAGTTTAATCCATGCACATAGTGTGTAACAATAGTAACAGTCAGTCAAATGACAATAGCAGGTTCATTTAAAATCATCACGCATTTTATGAATGACATTTCAGGATATTGCTCTGTATAGAATAAATTTTATATTTTGTTTGATAGTAAAAACGCATCTACCATGTTCGTCATATATCTGCTCTTTAATGGTGTTTTTGATTAACTGACTGAATTAAATCGCTTTTATGTGGAACAAGAAATTAGTTGTAGTGTACAACAGATTCGTGTGGTTTTATACTATTCTTTTCAAAAATTTGCTAATCATTTTTAACTGACTAAAAAAGTTGTCAGTGTATCATTTATTCAGAAAAGTCTCAAGGAGGATAAAGCAATTCCATAATAAAATAGTTTTATTTGATAAAACAATTTCCAGTGATGTAGTATTATGTACTGATGACATTTCAGGCATAATTTATTGTTCTTCTCTGCCACAGTACCTATGATAAATCTGGTGAATAAATTAACTAAGACACAAGGAAAATTTAGAGCAGTTTCACCGGATTGGTACTGGTCGTTGATCCTTCTGGTTTATATGAAAGAGGGATAAATTTCATTAACAAAGCGCTGATAGCGTAAGAAACCTAAGTTCAAAAAACTAAAGACAGTGTATTGATGAAGTGTGAAATATCCAACAGGTTCTAAAAGCCAGGCGTACTATTGCTCATAACTCGTAATATCTCTTTATCCAAAGGTGGCCCTTTGTTTCATTCCTTATTAATTGTTGTGAAAAGAATATTATGTCAATGAATGCATGCTTATGAAACGCATAAAGACATGTTAGAACTCATGAACAGTTATTTGCAGTGACGGCAATCAGTGGTATCTGTCAAGGGTTCCTACTGTCATTCTTTCCATTCATATTCGTTACATTCATTGATTTACATAACTTTCTTCATTATTCCAGTGCAGAACACCCTTATTAATCAGGACTATGTAGATAATGTAGTCATTTGAAGACCTTGAGCAGAAATCATGATATGTTTGCATACAATTCGCTCCAATCAAATGTAAGAATTTTGAAGGACTAGTATGAGCGAATTCCTTGTTTAAGGATAGGGACTAGAATAAATAAATGCTCTGAACAACTCAGTTACACCGGAAGTTGCATCAACTCCAACTGAGTAGTAACGGCTAAGTAGCTTGGTAGCTAGGTACTTGCTAACTTGAGTCACTTTCGGTTAAGACATGATATATTGTCTTCAACCGAAATTCATCTGTACTTTTATAGTTTGTCCAATCCAAATGTGAGGCAATGAAAGCAGAAAAAGTAAGTGTTGCAGAGTTTTGACATTTGAAAATGTATTAGAAACTAAATAATAAATCGTTAAGAGAAATCAATTTTATGGAATTCAGTAAAAGAGAATTCTGATTTCACTGAAAAAACGACAATATTTTATTCGTATTTTCATATTTGATACTGATTACTTGTCCCTAAATGTAACTGGATGTTTATATTCCACTTAAAATGCAACGTCCATAAATGCCTGAGAGTTTTTATGCATTTGATTACATTAAGAGGTGCCTTTTTGTTTCAAGCATCTTCCATCCTCCCACCACGAAATCATACAAAGGGAAAAGTAAGGATGATTTCTTATTTAAACATGGAGGCACGTGAAAAGTTGTTGTAGTAGTTTGCTGTCGTAGTAGACCTGACCTCACAGCACTTTAAGGAGAGGAAATGAGATGTTGAATATCATGTGTGAATATTCCTGCTGGTTATGAAGAAACCAGCGAAACACTCATAGGCCACAAAAAAGAAAAGGAAATAAAACGTTCCAGTTAGTACCATGTTTATTTCTTAAAGAGAGATCAACTTCGGGACTTTATGCTAAGTTTGTGAAGTTTAGTACATTCACTTTCATGTGTTTTAAGGATATACTAGTTCAATATAAAAATGAGACAAATAAACTAAAATCCTTTCCTGCAGCTTCATGTAATCAGCTCATCCCCACTGAAAGTCGCTAAGCCTACTTTAATTCATACTAATCAGAGGAACAGTCGAAGCAACAAACGACTACTCCGTTGGCAAAAAAGTGAATACTCAGAATAGTTGTCTAAAAAATTACTGAGACCACCATCTAGTGCACTACTGTTAGTTGTCAGGATAGTCACTCACATTTAATTAGGAATAAATAGATAAGCAAAACTGCTAATAAGTTATTATGGTAATCTAGATGTTAATGCAAATGCGCACACTACCCTATTATTTCGTGACTAATATATATTCATAAGCTACCTTTTAACTTTCCTGTTACAAAATAAACTAAAGGCCTAATATGAGTTAGAAACGAATATTCCGCTTGAATTTTGAAACCGTTCATTTGAGAATAATGAGATTTTTGAATCTTGATTTTAAGAGGCAGTAAGCTGAAACATTTCACGTAAATAGTCCAATTTCTAAATTCCAAGAAAACATTGATAATATGTTAGCAGAATGTGTTGTTTGGTATCGGTTAAACAAGTTTTCGTTAGGTTGCTTACTTATGCGACCAATAATTTCCTAAGAAACACTAGAAGTTTATGAGGTGATGGACGACTGCCAGTATTTTATTAAAAGATTGTTTTTAGTTGTCCAGTTTGAAATTTGAGATATACATAACAAATTTATCGAGACATATGGCGTAATTACCAGTAGGCTGTGCAGCATAATATAATGGCGGAATACTACACAATAAAAAGATATCAATGAATGTTGCAAGGTGGAACGCTTTTACAGAAAAGCCTATATGAATAAAATGTAGGTTGGTTGCACACGTCATGCTGACAAAAATACTAAGAACCCATTAACATGAGGATTTACGTCTCTGTGTAATTTACTCTGTCTGTCTGTCTCTCTGTATATATATATATATATATATATATCTTTTAAAAGACCAAAAGATGCATTTGATGCAAAGCGCCTCCCAGAATAAGCTGAATTCAGGAAAAGCGAGTCCTGTGCGAATCAGATTAAAACTGTACACATCGTCACCGGACAGAGCACAGAACAATGCTCAGATATCTATCTCAAATTCATCGACTTTGAGAAGACATCCAACAGCGTGGACTGTAAAGTAACTACCACTGTGAAACTACTTCAATACTACTGATTGTAATGCCCAAAATCTTTACCAACTTCATTCAACAGGTAGATGACAACTCCACATGTCGATTGATTCACAATGGAAAACTCAGTGAAGCGTTTGAAGTGAATTCAGGAGTAAGATAAAACTGCCTAATTTCACCGATTATATTCCTAAGTGTGATGGACAGGATCATAAGGTACAATATGACTGGGGAGCGAGAAGAAAGGAGCGATAAAAAGACTCTACAAGATCTGGACTTTGCGGACGATTTATGTCTAATGCTACATAATTCGATTATCTGCAGGCGAGAATCAATAGGTTGACAGAAGAGAAAGCAAAGGAGTTTAGGTGAATATATAGAGAAAAAAGAGTTGATGAAAGCAATCAACCAACAACAACAAGCACCTAACATTGTGGACGGAAGGAATTCGAGAGAGGTCATTTTCTTCACTTATTTAGGAGGCCTCGTTTCAACTGCATGTGATATCACAGAGGTTGTCGAAACATGAATGGGAAAGGCAAGATACAAGTTCATCACTATGAATCAGTTTGAAAATCTCCTGCACTAAGTGTTTAGAATAAGATTCAGATTTTCAGTGCAAATGTTACCCAGTTCTTCTTTGTGCTTCAGAAACTTGGAGCACGACTCACGAAAAGCATTTCCAACAGGCTACTGTAGACTTTTATCTACAGCTTTCTCCGCTCCATAATGAAGATCACAAGACCAAAAAGAATCAGCAACCAGAAATTCTGAAGACGAACTAGCAAAGAACCCACTGCTCAGCAAATATGCAGGAAAAGAAGTAGAAGGATCGGGCACACAGTGAGGAGACTGTTGGGTGGCATAGCGCGCTAGGCCATAGCTCGAGTGGAACCCGAATTGGAGTCCATAGGTGACATGGAGGCCATCGTGTAAAAAGGATATGAGAGACTGTAGGCAATTGTGGGGTTAGTTAAAGAGGAGGACAAATTGGAAATGTGCTATCGAAGCTGTTTTTTAATCGGATTACAAGGAATTAATAGTATAGTACCTTTTGGAAAGTGTTTCACTTTTATTTTATTGTAAAAAGCTCTTATCTAAGCTATAGCAAATGTCCAGAAATGACAAACATCTTGTCAGTTGCAGTGAACAGCATTTGAATGTGCTGAATTTGTGTATCTCTGTATTTTTCGAGACCATAGGTGTTGAGAATTTCCTGAAATAATTTGAGCGCCAAGACAAAATGAATCGCTATAAAATCACGCCAAATAATCTCATACAATACATTTACTTTTAAATAGCTCTATGATCGGTTATCTCCGTTTATTTTTGTGTTTGCTCTGGCTTACACCATCACTTGTGGAACAAA